AGTACAGGAGGACACCTGACCATCAAGACCATGTGGCACACTGTAAAGGAAATAGGGTAAGAAATGATGAAATCTTGATATTAAATTTGACAAGGCTCCTGTTTTCTGGCACATATAGGGTTCCCATCTCCCTACCCTGTAAATACATGTACCTATTCCTTTCTCACAAATAATCAGGATTGATATGTCTCAACACAGCATTCTTGGGATATGTCACTTGCTTACATTTAGATCCACTTTACCAGCTTAAACTGGACACTTTTATCAGTTTAACAAGGTGTAGAGCTAGATGAACACAGCAGGCCAAGCAGCATCAGAGGAGCAGGAAAGCTGATCCATTTCTGAAGAAGGGTCCAGACCCGAAACGTCAGCTTTCCTGCACCTCTGATGCTGCTTGGCCTGCTGCATTCATCCAGCTCTATGCCTTGTTATCTCAGATTCTCCAGCATCGGCGGTTCCTACTATCACTGATACTTTAATGAGTTTGTCTTGTTAACTCTAAACACGAGTACCTTCTTATAGCATTAGAACAATAGAAAATCAGAATGGGGTTTAAGACTGTGGGAAGGATTGATGCCAAGGACCACAGGCTCAGCACAGCCAGAAACATTATAAATGGAATGAGGACAATACCGCAGGTGGGAAGAATTAGAAGAGGGAAGAAGATATGAAGACAAAAAGAAACAGTTGAGCATAACTGTTTCTGTGGCCACAATTTATGTAATCGTCGTAAGATCATAAGACTTAGGAGCAGAAGTAGGCCATTCAGCCCACTGGATCTGCTTTGCCATTCAATGAGATCACAGATGATCTGATAATCCTTAACTCCACTTTCCTGCCTTTTCCCTGTAACCCCTTGATTCCCTTACTAATTAAAAATCTCTCCATCTCAGCCTTAAGCATACTTAACAACCCAGCCTCAGGAGACCTCTCCAGTAAAGAATTCCACAGATTCACCAGCCTCTGAGAGAAGAAACTCCTCTAATCTGTCTTAAATGGATTACCGTATATTTTGAAATTTAGCCCTCTGGTCCTCGACTCTCTCACAAGGGGAAATAACCTTTCTGCATCTACCATGTCAAGTCTCCTAAGAATCTTCTATGTTTCAATAAGATCACCTTTTATTCTTTTAAATTCCAATGTAATACAGGCCTAAGGCAATCTACATCTCCTCATAAAACAGCCCCTCCTTACCCAGGATCAACCTCATGGAGCTAACAACAGGCTCCCAATTGGCCTATTCTTGCTCCATTTCTTATGTAACCTTTAATAAACAATTAACTATTGACTGTACATTAAATTCTGACTGACCAGTTGCAGAGATGCAGCCTTTGTTTAGATACAAAATAAACGTAAAATGAAGAGGTGACAGTTTCAATGGCCCAGGATTCTGGTGGAAGAAAAATGCAGTTTGATGCCAAGAGTGTAGTAATGGATGGTGGGTAGGAGTTGGAGAAGGAAATGGAAGAGCCCCCCACTGCAAAAAATTTCCTGATCCTGATCACAGGAACAGAGAAACAGTAATCTCAACCTGTTTATTCATTAGATTTCATACAAAGACCTTAGTGAAAAAGAAGTTTAGAATATCATGAAGGTCTTAAACTTTAAATAGTTTACAAATGTGGGACGTTACTATAGTGATTCAAATAATTTAAATATTTTTAATAAAGGCAATTTCAAAGTTAATGCAAATCTTGTTGACTCTTTGAAGCAGTTAACCACTGCCATCATCTCATGCATTTAGTGGGATTCCAGTGGGTATTCAAGACATTTAAAGCCAATCTCCATCCAGACAATTCTGCTACAACTAGGGCAGGATATGGCAGACATTTGATTGACCGATTGATTGCTGATTTATTGTCGTCACATGTACTGAGATACAGTGAAAAGTGTTGTTTTGCGTGTTATACAGGCAGATCATACCATACAAAGTGCATCATGTTGCAAAACAAAGTGCAGAATACAGTGATACACCCGCAGAGAAGGTGCAGAAAGAGAGAGATCACTATTAACGTTTGAGAAGTCCATTCCAAAGTCTGACAACAGCAGGGAAAAAGATGTTCTTGAATCTATTAGTATGTGTATACAAACTTCTATATCTTTTGCCCGACGAAAGAGGGTGGAAGAGAGTACAACCGAGGTGGGAGGGATCTTTGATTATGCTAGTTAGTTTACTGAGGCTGCTGGAATTGTAGCTGAAGTCAATGGATGGAAAGCTGGTTTGCATGATGGATTGGGCTACATTCACAACTCTCTGTAGCTTCTTGCGGTCCTGGGAACAGAAGTTGCTAAACCATGCTGTGATGCATCCAAATAGAATGCTTTCTTGATACAGCTATAAAAATTGGTAAGAGCCTTTGTGGATATGCCGAATTTTCTCAGCCTCCTGAGGAAGTAGAGATGTTGCTGTGCTTTCTTGATGGTTGTGTCGATGTGGGTGGACCAGGACAGATTGTTGGTGATCATCACTCCCAGGAACTTGACACTCTCGGCTGTCTCCACCCCTTAGTACTATTGATGCAGCCAGGGGTATGCCCTCTACTCTGCTTCCTGAAGTCAATGACCAGCTCATTGATCTGGATTTCTACTCCTTGTGTTTTTTTTTCTCTCTCTGCTTCTGATATATACTTGCTTTTGAAGGAGGGTCCATCATTTCTTATTCGGTTATACCAGCTACAGTGACCCGAACCAAGCTTCTTCCAGGACTTGGTGTCAATATCAAATTCCGAAGTGAAGCCTTCATAATACCCTATCGAAGATTTATTCATTCACGGGATGAGGGCATCGCTGGCTAGGCAGCATTTATTGCCCATCCCTAATTGCCCAGAGGGCAGTTTAAAGTCAACCACATTGCTGTGGATCTGGAGTCACATGTAGGCCAGGTGAGGATGGCAGTTTCCTTCCGTAAAGGGATTTTAGTGAATCAGATGGGTTTTCCAACAAAAGGAAATACATTCACGGTCATCATTATATTCTCAATTCCAGATATTTATTGAATTCAAATTCCACATCTGCCTTGGTGGGATTCATACCTGGGTCCCCTGAACATTATCTAGGTCTCTGGATTAACAGTCCAGCGATAATAACACTGGGCCATTGCCTCCCCAACAGTGTCGGACAGTCTAGCTACGTGACCATGTAAATGGAGCATGACACAGCAGGCCTATGGAGTTTAAACAGAAGTGTTAAAACCCAGTAGGAACAGCGTCCAAGTCATACTGGGACCTTGATCAATTGGGCCAATAAGCTGAGAAGTGGCAGATGGAATTTAATGTAGATGAATGTGAGGTGCTACATTTTGGCAAGGTAAATCAGGCCAGGACTTAGACAATTAATGGTAAGGTCCTGGGGAGTGTTGCTGAACAAACAGACCTTGGAGTGCAGGTTCATAGTTCCTTGAAAGTGGAGTCCAGGTAGATAGGATAGTGAAGAAGGTGTTTGGTACCTTGTTTTTATTGGTCAGTGCATTGAGTATAGGAGTTGGGATGTCATGTTGCAGCTGTACAGGACACTGGTTAGGCCACTTTTGGAATACTGCATTCAATTCTGGTCTCCCTGCTACAGGAAAGATGTTGTGAAACTTTAGAAAAGATTTACAAGTATGTTGCCAGTGTTGGAGGGTTTGAGCTACATTGAGAGGCTGAATAGTCTGGGGCTATGTTCCCTGGAGCTTCGGAAGCTGAAGGATGAACTTATAGAAGTTTATAAAATGATGAGAGGAATGGATAGGGTGAATAATCAACATCTTTTCCCCAGGGTAGGGGAGTCCAAAACTACAGGGCATAGGTTTAAGGTGAGAGGGGAAAGATTTATAAGGGACCTAAGGGGCAACTTTTTCCACACAGAGGGTGGTGCATGTATGGATTGAGCTACCAGAGGAAGTGGTGGAGGCTTGTACAATTACAACATTTAAAAGGCATCTGGATGGGTATATGAATAGGAAGGGTTTAAGAGGGATATGGGCCAAATGCTGGCAAATAGGACTAGATTAATTTAGGGTATCTGGCCAGCATGGATGAGTTGGATCTATGGGTCTGTTTCCATGCTGTACATCTCTATGATTCAGAACATTAACATTTCCCCGTCCACGGCTGCTGGTAGACCTACTGAGTTTTTCCAGCACTTTCTGTTCGATTCCAAATCCTGTTCATCTAATGTAGATTTAACACTTTGTGAAACTGAAACTTTAACTGATGAAACACAAATTTTTAACTTTCAGAATCCTACTGGTAAATTCATCTAAACGTTCATCCAGAACAGAGCTGTGATAAGTTTTCCCAGTTTTATTTACCTACTTCCTATTCCGTTCGTTTTATTTTCAAAAAAAGGGCAAACTTAAAGCTTCCCACTTTGTTACACCGGATCATAACCGGAACGGATGAGCAGAGTATTAAAAATATTTCAAAATCATGAGGTCTCCTTCGAATTTTTAAAATCAACCTTGATCATTCAATAATTTCGGTGTCGACAGAAAGAAAAACTGAATCCATTACACCAGGACATGCTTTTACGTGAAGCAGGGTCCCTACCACAATGCGATAATGTCTGTGATTTTAAAACTAAATCGGCCAGAATCAGCAAGTACATCAACGTTTGGGGCGCAAGGTCGTGGGGATTTACTAACACAAAAAGAGTGCTGTCAGAGATAGCAAGAAGTGCAGATGCTGGAATCAGAGATAACACAGTGTGGAGCTGGAGGAACACAGCAGGCCAGGCAGCTTCAGAGGAGCAGGAAAGCTGACGTTTCGGGTCGGGACTGCTGTCATCAGTGCAGAGAATGTACTGGCGCAACACATAGAAGATGCTTTTCGATGTGTTGTTTTGGGGAGTGGTGGGGGGGTGGGGGCAAGTGGTGAGGAAGTAGGATTTAAATACCCACTTCCTGTTTGCAGTTTGTAACAAGCTCACACTGCACTGCACTGCAAGATGTTACCTCCTCAACCCAGCAGCGGCGTCCAGGAGTCAGTCACATGACCTCCCCCTCCCGCAACGTAACTTACCAGGAATCCCACCAGATACAGAGAGAGCACGAGAGGCCCGCGCGAGCCAACAAACCCCATTGTCCGGCCGGAGCGGGAGCGGGGTGGTGAGGCGCGTGCAGTGATGGAACCCAACGTCAGCCTATTGACTGCAAGGAGGGCCGCGCATGCGTAACACACACACACCCCGCCCCTCTGGTGCAGCGCTGCAAAACGCTGCTGATGAAGTTGTGGAGTATGGATCATGCTGACCTAAAGTCGACTTTGTAAACATCCCCATATGCCAATTCAAGCATTTCATGTGAAAAGGTTTCCGAATTATCGAGTTTATATTGTAAAACAGCACATTCTGAAAAGAATAATGCGCAACTACTACATTGGAAAATAATCTGATACTTCTTACCCGTGCTGTTCCTCTTGGCTTACAGTTTTTCTCGGGCTGTCAATTTTGGCCAAACAGAAATCTGCATAGACTCATATACTCATTTTGGGCTGAAGCAGATTCTTGACCTGATTTTACGTGGGAATTATCACGGTGGCACTGCGCCAGTGACACGGATTCGATTCCAACCTTGCCCGACTGTCCATGTGCGGTTTGCACTTTCTGCCCAGGTCTGTGCGGCTTTCCGCCGGGTGCTCCGATTTCCTCCCACTCTCCAAAGACGTGCAAGTTAGGTAGATTGACCATCCAACATTACCCATTGTGTTCGGGGATGTGGAGGTGAGGTGTGTTAGCCATGGGAAATAAAGGGTGATATGGTAGGTGAATGGGTCAGGGTGGGATGCTCTTTAGACGGTTGGTGTAGATTAGTTAGGCTGAATGGCCTGTTTCCACAGTGCAGGAATGCAATTCTAAACAAACATAAGTGCCCATTTACAGTATGCATCTGTTGGAATCACTTCAATTGCTAGGACTAAGAAATAGCAGTAATAGCTACGGGAGGAATGAGTGAATGAATGACAATGGGACACTATCCTCCCATCACTGTACCTTGGTACACATGACAGTAGTAAATCAAATCAGAAAGCACAAGAACAAAGAGGCTATGATAAGGAGATAGTAGGAACTGCAGATGCTGGAGAATCCAAGACAACAAAGTGCAGAGCTGGATGAACACAGCAGGCCAAGCAGCATCATAAGAGCAGAAAGGCTGACGTTTCGGGCCTAGACCCTTCAGGGTCAGCCTTTCTGCTCCTATGACGCTGCTTGGCCTGCTGTGTTCACCCAGCTCTGCACCTTGTTGTCTTGGCTATGATAAGGACACCGGTTTGGCCTCAACTGGAGTATTGTTTCTGGAAATGGATGTCACTCTTTAGGAATATTGTGAGTGCGTTGCAGAAAGCGCAGAAGGGTTCTGAGAATGGTTCCAGGGATGAGTTCAGAACAAGGATTGGAGAAGTTGGGACCATTTTCCTTGAAGAAAAGGCTGTAAGGAGATTTGATAGAGGTATTCAAAATGAAAGGCTGGACAGAATGGATAGAAAAATATCAACTCAGTGATGGGAGGACAGTGAACAAGGGATATGGAAGAAATATAAGAGAGAATGAAAAAAAATCAAGAATTTACCATTATTTTAGAGTGGAAAAGGAAATTTTGAAAAGGCAATTTGGTCACCCTGTTAACTGAGAGAGAGCACAAGTGTCAGCATTAACTTAATGGGGGGGGGTGAGGGTGTAATGTTGACCTGTGTCCAGAAGCACATCCCACTTGCTTGCCAGTGGAATCGAGTAACAACCCTGAGAAACAAATTTCTGTTGAAAATTCACAATGCTTTATTGCATGAAAAACAACTTACTAACAAAATACTGTAATTACATAATTAAAATAATTTCATTCATGTGTATGTGATATTACCCATCTGTCCTCACACTGATCAGGCATGGTGCAGGGGTACTTCTTCACAAAGCCTCAACTTTCGACATTCTTCTAGATAGTTAGTCCCAGTCTATGTCTCTCTCTCTCTCGGTGGGTTCTCCTGCCTTGAATGATCATAAGCTTTCTTTTATCCTCCTTTCTTCCCAGCAACTGCAATTTGACTTATCAGTTATATTGTACTGTTGATTTATTTGCTGAATGGCCTGTGGTTAGCATCTCTTATCTTTTATTCTATTCTACACAATAGGACACAATGGGACTACCTCCTGTTGGGGACATCTCTGGCTCCAGATGCAGTAAGTTCCTTTGTGGTGTTCTCCAGGAAATGCTTTATCTTACAGTTTGTTTCCAGTGAGCTCATTGTCCTTCAGGAATGTGATCAGCAGTCTTTAGTAATGAGATTAACTGCTTACTGGATATCACAGTAACAATGGCAGCATGGATGCCCAGTAATGATCATCTCAAATGAGAGACATTTTACCCACCGACCCTTGACTTTCAAAGATATTACCATCACTAAATTCTCCCACTATAAACATCCTGGGCATTACCATTGACTAGAAACTCAGTTAGCCTCACTATATGCAGTGGCTACAAAAACAGATCAGATAGCTAAGAATCTTGCAGCAAGTAACTCACCTCCTGACGCCCCAAAGCCTGTCCATCATTTACAAGGTGCAAGTCAGGATGGAATACTCACTACTTGTCTGGATGAGTGCAGCTCCAACATCACTCAAAAAGCTTGACACCATCCATTGCAAAGCAACCCATTTGATTGGCACTATATCCACAAACATCCACTCCCTCCACATCACCAGTCCTCAGTAGCAGCAGTGTGTACTATCTACAACATGCACTGCAGAAATTCATCTTAGACAGCACCTTCCAAATCCATGACCACTTCCATTCAGAAGGACAAGGGCAGAAGATACATGGGAACATCAGCATTTGCATGTTGCCCTGAAGTGCTTCACCATCCTGACTTGGAAATATATCACTGTCAGTCAGTGCCACTGGATCAAAATTATGAAAATACCTCCCTAAGGGAATTGTGGGTCTACCTACAGCATATGGATTGCAGTGCTTCAAGAAGGCAGCCCATCACCCACTATCTTCTCAAGGGCAACTAGGAATGGACAATCAATACTAGCTCAGCTAGTGATGTCCACACTTCAGCAGTGAATAAAAAATGAACTAATGGCGTAACAGTGCCAGAATTAAGTAAAGGGAGAAAAAAAAATCCCTAATCAAACAGGGCAGAGGTGAACGAGGCATTGCAATTGGAAAGAGAGGGGAGCACATCAGCTTAAATAGGCTACAGTGGAAAAAGAATGACATGTTGAGGTGAGAATTTACTTTTATTTTGCAGAGGGTTGTGAGGAAATGGAACTTCTTTTCAGAGACGTTGAGGGAAACAATGAAGGAGAAGTGCATAAATATATTATTTTAAAAATTACAGGGATTTGGGAAAGAATCAAAGGAATGAGTTGTTATAGTGGCAGTAGAATAGACCACATAACTGTGCTTCAAACTTGTATCATTCATGAACGTCCAGACAGAAGTGTGTCAAGATGAATGGAGGGGACGGATTGTGAGGATTTTTGTGACAGGAAACTTGACAGTGTGGATAGATTAGGTATTGATTTGGATCCAACATGAACGAAAGCCATGGAGTGTATTTACCTCTATAAGAGCTATAGGAATAAAAAAACAGAAAGCCTAATTGTAATGGTAAAGAAATATTATCATAAGAGGGAGTGCTAAGTCATGAGTGCTAAGCAATAAAACAATGTTGGAGAAGGAACAAGGGATATGAAAGAGTCAAATAATCAAAATGGAAAAGATAATATAGTATTACATATTAACATTGAATTTGCCAATGAATGCAAAAAAAATTCAAAACAAGTTGAGGAAAACAAACATTAATAACTATGAAAGGAGTTAATACAGAAACAATAACAGATGTGGATTAAGTTTGAATAAAATAGGGTCTTACTGTTACAATGTTTTAAGGAAAGATGAGGGATTACAAAAGACCATATTTAGCAAGAGTACTATTAAAAGTGCTAATAATTAAAGATGTGTCATTCTCTGAACACATATTTCATCCTTCCCCATTTTACCTTCCAAAGGACCTATAAGCTCCAAGATAATGACTTTTCCACTGCCCTTAGCAAATGTAACAGTTACAGCATCTGTCCACTACTTTTCTCCTACACCAATGTTATGGATTGAAAGCAATATTTCAGTATACATTACTTCAGTCCAATTTAATGTACCCTGTACAGTGTGGGAACTAAGAAAACCACCTGGCTAATGATCTCTATTCTGTCCACAGATTCTGGCAGTTCAGTTTCTCTTCATACTTTCTTTTCCATCTACACTGTGTTTGACCTTTTGCTCTTTCAGTGAAGGATTGAGAAACAGCCAAAATATTTTGGTGAAAACAAGCACTAAATGAATACAAGGCAAAGACGACATTTTAAATTCTGGTTTTATCATGCAATTTTGAGCTAATTACTGAATGCCATAATTTGAAAATACCTTAATGTGCTAATAAGACACCCCAAGTATATCCTTTAGGGATGGATGTCCTCTAATGTCCTTGAGAGAAGAAAATCTAATATCTTTACCTGGTCAGGCCTACATATGACTCGACAGTAATGTTGTTGACTTTTAACTGTACCTTGCACCATCAGGGATGAGAAATAAATACTTGCCTTGCCAGTAACACCCACGTCTCGTGAACAAATATATTTTAAAAACCTGCAAATGTAAGTTCTGATGAGCATCATTTTTTTTTGTATGCATCTATGTCCACTAGGTATGGAGAGAGCTGCTGCCACACACCAGCAGATTTCCAATAACTCTGGAATTGAATGCAAGGGTGCATAGCTTCTCAGATGAGGCCACTGGAATTCCTCGTGGAGGATGTTTAGAGAGGGAGGGATGTCCCATACCCACAGAGGAGAAAGGACTGCATGACACCCTCCTATCCTTCTCTCCTGCAGTAACTGGTGCTGTTCTGCTGAACGTGATGTCTTCCTTCCAATCCTTTTGCACACCAAGAGAGATCTCCAATAAGATGCACATGACTAATCCTTATGACTCCCATAAGGTGTTCAATATTCTAAAATGATGGACTGAGAGTAGCGTGGATCTGGCAGCTGCTCCTGACATTCAGGTTTGTTTCTAGATTTAGCTCTAGATTTTTTACAGTTAAGAAGTGTTTGGAGGGAGATGGGCCAAGCGCA